TGTATTTGGGGAAAGCAGAGAGATTACTAATGCAGAAGAAAACACACCAGTTATTTTGCCAGATATCATAATTGTTTTTTATGAAATCAGATAATAATATTAGGATAATTGACTACCTACTAAATTTAAAACTTAAAAATGCATCATAAGCACAAGCAAATTAACTAGAGAAAACACTTCTCACAAACAGGGCATAAAAATAGAGCAAAGTGTACAAGAGATTTGAAAACCTACAAGAAAAAAAAAAACAAGAAACATACAAAAATGGGTGAAAGTTATGATTAGGTTATATATACAAGAGGAAACAATACTCGCAGTAGTTAGCAATCAGAGAAATACACATGGAAACAATATGAAAACCTACAAGAAAAAAAAACCAGGAAACATACAAAAATGGGTGAAAGTTATGATTCGGTTATATATACAAGAGGAAACCTAGAAAGCAATACTCAATACTCGCAGTCGTTAGCAATCAGAGAAATACACATGGAAACAATAATAACTTCTCACTGTTACATGTTAGAGTGACCGGGACGTGTAGGAAAAAATGTAGGGATTTAGGAACCCTTATCCATTGCTGGTAGGAATTTATACTGGAATTCCTATCTGAAGAGCAATTGGCAGGTTAGTCAGATTAGGTGTGACCTAGCCCGGTTGGCGTGGCTCAGTGGTTGGACCTATGACCCAGGAGGTTGCTGGTTCAATTCCCCATCAGGGCACATGCCCAGGTGTGGGCTCCATCCCCATCGTGGAGCGGGCAGGAGGCAGCTGATCAATGATTCTCTCTCATCATTGATGTTTCTCCCTGTCCCTTCCTTTCTGCAATCAATAAAAAAATACAGTAAGAATAGCCAAAACAAAACTATGTGGGTTTTCAGATCTATGTAGACCAAGGTTGCAGCCTAGTTGAGAATGAAGAGAGCTTCGAGGAGCCAGGCCAGTAAGGAGAGAACCTTTGTCCCTTCTTAGTTAAATTGCTTACCAAGCGCCACCTCTGTCCTTTCCTAAAGTCTCTTAGAGCTCATGCTGCACCTCCTGTCTCCCTGGAGCCCTTTTTTTAGGTTTTCAAAACAACAAAGACACGCGGGGGCGGTTAGAACTTCAGCAGCTCTGAACTAGGCTGCGGTCGGGAGAGAACTACAACTCCCAGCGGCCCCCGCGCGAGAAACAATTCTCCACGCCCTGGCGCCATTCCATGTTGGCCAATCAGCTCAGCTCTTCCCGCCCCTTCCACAGGCTGCATGGGCTTCCGGCGGGCAGCGGCGCCCGGAGTCGCAGGGCGACGGGACCACGGTCGCTTCCGGGCAGAACGCCCTTCCGGCGGCGCGGAGATGCGTGACGTCACTTCCGCTGGGCGGGGCGCGGGCCGTC